GACCAGTACATTTAGCCGCCTAGGACACTTACCCCCCCTAGGACACTTACCCCGCTAGAACTAGGACATTTAGCCCCCTAGGACACTTACCCCTCTAGGACCAGTACATTTAGCCGCCTAGGACACTTACCCCCCCTAGGACACTTACCCCGCTAGAACTAGGACATTTAGCCCCCTAGGACACTTACCCCTCTAGGACTAGGATATTTAGCCCCCTAGGACACTTATCCCTCTAGGACTAAGACATCTAGCCCCCTAGGACACTTACCCCTCTAGGACTAAAACATCTAGCCCCCTAGGACACTTGTCCCTCTAGGACTAAAACATCTAGCCCCCTAGGACACTTGTCCCTCTAGGACTAGGACATTTAGCCCCCTAGGACACTTGTCCCTCTAGGACTAAAACATCTAGCCCCCTAGGACACTTGTCCCTCTAGGACTAAAACATCTAGCCCCCTAGGACACTTGTCCCTCTAGGACTAAAACATCTAGCCCCCTAGGACACTTGTCCCTCTAGGACTAAAACATCTAGCCCCCTAGGACACTTGTCCCTCTAGGACTAAAACATCTAGCCCCCTAGGACACTTACCCCTCTAGGACTAGGACATTTAGCCCCCTAGGACACCTACCCCCCAAGAACTAGGACATTTAGCCCCCTAGGACACTTACACCTCTAGGACTAGGACATTTAGCCCCCTAGGACACTTACCCCTCTAGCGTACTTATCCCCCTAGGGGGCAAAATGATAATTTAAATATAAGACATTATTTATACTACAGCCTAAAATTGTGTTTATATTTTTGCTTTGGAGGCTAATAAAATTAAAAATAGAGCTGAAACTCTTGGTTGACAGTAACAATTGTTTGGGGGGGGGGGGCGTGTCCTAGAACCCTCTATAATAAACCTCATTTTTACCATCCTCAGCAAAATGTAGGATTGTGGATATTTAAACAAAACAGAAGCAATTACAGCAGTCCTCCAAAATTAAAATAAGCTTTTTCCTTTATTTGTTTCAAAACAGATTGACAGTTTGCACAAAAAGACAAGAGGCCTACAAGAATTTATTACATCTCAGAAATGAGCATGAAAAATCATTCAGACTATTTATTATTATTTTTTTACTTTTAGTCTTACTTCACAAATATGCTTTACTATAGAAGCAGATCAAAGATATAAGAAGCATTAAAACAGCCAAACGAAGACCACACCTTAGGTTGTTATTCCTGAGATTGCCTCTAAGGGGCAACAATGTGCTGATGGAGGCAGAAACAATCACAGATAAAAAAAAAAAAAACATGAATTACACAAACTTTACCTGCAACAGGTGGATTTCAGGTCAGGTCTCATTATGGAAGAAATATAGATAAACAAATATCTGTAATATAATATATAAACAAATGGCCAATCAAATTTACTGCTTTTCTTTTTGGCTCATAAGAACTGCATAATTCATGTGTTTGTTTCAGTCCAAACCATTTTGTTCCGTTCTACTTGTAAATAAAATGTCCACTAGGTGGCAGCACATACAGAGTGCAACCTGTCAACCTGAAAAAGTTTTAATAAAAAACAGCACAAAAATACAGAATGGAGCAGTTTTTGCACTCACTGCCTTGGTGTAAAGACACGGTTTAATTGTCGGTGCAGGGAGGAACGTTGTGACACTCTTGAAACTGGAATTTTTTCTCTCCATCTGGCGTGTTGCCGCAGTCGGGTTTTGGGGTTCCAGAGAAGGTAGCCTCTTCCCCTAGTCGACCGATGGTTTTTCTGAGAAAGTGAACAAGTTTAAAAATGACAGCGATGTTTTTTTTTTTTAATTGTGACAAGTTTGTGATGATGTAAAATGTRTAAATTCTGAAGCAGTTCAGGTGTGTGAACGAACCTGTAACYCTCGAAGTCCGGTTTACAGATCAAAAACCTCCTGCGTTTAGAGTTTTCTCCACAAGACGGTTTACAGTACTCCCATTCTCCCCAGCCTCTCCAGGTGCCTTTCACTGTAAGACAAAAAGCCTGCGATCAGATAGAAACACTGCAGAAGCTTTCTGAATGCAATCTGTTTGATGTTCCGGGCTGACTCAAAGAGTTGAAATAAGCGTTGCTCACATGGGACGCAGCTGGTTTTGCTTTGGCAGATCTGGCGGCAGTTGTCGACATCGTAGCAGACCTGGGATTCTGACAGTTTGTCTCCTTCGCAGATGGACCCGTTATGAGCTTGATGAAGACACCTGCGCTCTCGGGACTGCTTGCCACCCATCGGCCTGCAGTGGATGTCCYTATCACCAAATGGAAATTTGCATTTTCCCCATGGGGTCCACTCTGACCAGACACCATTAACTGCAAACAGAATTAAGACTTACTTGAAAATGRTTCATACTATAAACCTTATTTGAACAATTGATTTAAAAGTGTAACCATAAAAAGGAACTTGTTGAACAGATGTCATTCATCCCTGTTTGATTGGTTACAGACCAATCCAACWAGAAAAYAAAACACTTGAGCTTGACTCCAAAGATCACAGGAGCTTCATGTACCTGGACAGTGAACGTTTGTTGAACAGATGATGCTTCGTTTTTCTTCTCCGGGACATGGATGGCCTCCATGTTTGGAAGAAGGGCTATCACATCTTCTGAAGGACACCCGGAGGCCGACCCCACAGGTAACARGACAGGGAGTGTAGGGAGACCACGGACCCCAGTTGCCGTTCACTGATACAGAAACAGATTTACAGTATATTTATATTATGAACACATGAGTGTCTTTAATGGCTTTATGGGAGGATGTTGGACATTTGGAAACTGTAAACTTAACCATGTGGACTCTTGGGGGATTTTTCTCTTTTTACAAACATCTAAGAGTCAATGGGTTTTTATGGACAGTTGGAAGTCATGCAGTATGTACAAGTGGGCGTTATCTCTGAATGGACAGTTGGGATTTTGAATGTTTTCATGCCAACAGTTAGGAGCACTCTGTACACTGAGTCCTCTTAGAGTTGCTTTGTGACTCGGTCTTTACCCTCAGAAACAAGAACATGGTCAGTGATWCTGTTTGCGTACAGAATCTTAAAGTCTAGAGGAGGATGTCTGGTTTGGGAGCCTTGGACCATGACCTTCACAACAGACTGGAAGCCAAAAGCCTAACTTTTCCACCAGTGTCTCTACAGCACGGTTCAACTTGGCTYGCCATGGTTCCAAGGCTTTTCCARTAGCAAGGATTTGTGGAACCCGGCCCTTTTTCAGAAYGTAYTTTGCTGTGGTTCCAAAGGTACTGGCCTGAAAACGTGATGTCAAAAGACTGACTATCAATGACTGGTTAGGGGGCRGAGTTGGTTGTGTTACAAGAGCTACTCTTACAACAACCCCATCTGCCGTTTACAATAACGACGCTACCAGGATGTCGTGTTGCGTATCTTTTTGGGGTCTACTGTTTTAATATTTTTCTTGTATTTTTAKCCATTATTCATGATATTAGATGTTTCTGATTTGGTAGCAAATTAGCATAAAGACAAAACTGGTTTCTTTCTTGTGTTCTCAATGACGTGTGAAGAGTTCACTGAAATCTTACGATCTCACACTTTGGTTTGAGTCTGATTAAAAGGGTGAATAATATCTGGTGTGGTGCCCTACTAGATGAAGTGTGCCAGGCTGCAGGAACATATCACCCTTTCTGTTGTGTATCTGATAGCCGCCACCAGCTGGTWAGGCGTGTGGCATCAATATTCGGACTCTGGGACCAACCTTGTTTASCATGAACCCACCCACTAAAGCTGTCACCTAAGTGTAATGGAAAACCACCCGAACCATGCTGAACAGAGTTCTTTAAAGTGGGAACATGCTGTAGAAGCACTAGTGGAAAAGGGCCATGCGTCAACATGTGATAGCTACAGTATAACATCTCTGTATGTCTAGTTATTTTCTCCATGTGGAGATCAGAGTGTTTCGGTCTATATGTAGACATTTTAACAGTAGTATMTTCTCTGGACCACTGAGATCACTGTTTTTATGGTTGAGTGATGGAAGATAGACAGAGAGACAGACAGGTGTACCTGAGCAGTAAGGCAGCTGGTCACAGCTTTCTGATTGGGTGGCTTCACCCTCACAAGAGAGCCCACGTGGGTTTGACGAGGGGGCGGGGTTAGAGCACGAGCGTTGGCGAGTCCTAACGGATGGCTGGTTTTGTGGTATACAGGGAGATGAACACTCGCCCCAGTTTGACCATCCGGACCAGAACCCGTGAACTGACGGAGGAGCAGAAGTTCAGACCCAACGTGTCTTTGCGTGTCTTTGTGTGTCATTGTATGTGTGTGTGGTCGTGTCTCACCGGGGCAGGGACTCCGACAGACTCTGGTCTGAGTGCTCGACCCCTCACACGTTTTGCCACCATATTTAGGGGCGGGGCTGTCACACTCCCTCATGGACAGCTGCAGCCCCTCCCCACATGTGACGGAGCACGGTCCAGGCGCAGACCACGCCCCCCAGTTGCCATCCACTGCAGAAAACAAAAAAACACAGACAACCACTCAGTCCTGAACTCTTTACCACTTTGGGGTGTCAGTGGAGTTGTTCTCTCACCTGGGCAGTTGGGCAACTCGCTGCAGGTCTGCCTCTGGACRGAGTCTCCTGGGCAACTGTTGCCCKGTGGGTTCGTGTCCGTGGAAGGGGTGGGGTTTGAGCAGGAGCGCTGTCGTTCTCTTGTGGGCACGTTTGTGCTTCCAGGCTGGTCRTTGATGCACGTACCGGAACACTGAGACCAAGCAGTCCACCCGGACCAACCCCCGTGGACTGAGCCACGTAAAGGCACAGAGACACAAATGGACAAAGACGTGAGGACTTCAGGACCAGTTTGATGGAGGTTAGTTAAAAGATCAACACCGTCAGCCTAAAGTGGACAAACATCATGGATTGAAGTTCATTTTAATAAGTATACTTCAGTATAAGTTTAAGTACACAACACACCGTGTACTTGTTGTGTACTAGAAAGTATACTGTTTTAATACTTCTCTAGACTAAAYTGGGACACCTTTTGTTTGTAAAAAGTATACTTTAAGTACTGTTATAAAGTCTTTTTTAAGTTTACCAAATGATACATTCAAGTACACTTGTCTATATACTACTGGTGTATTACATATATACTTGTAATTCACATTTTAGCTTGTTGAATTATATTTAAAGTATACCACAAGCATACTTTTCTCTATGCTGCCATTGCACTAGTTAAATACTTCAAGTCCTCATTTCAGTTAAGTATACTCTAAGTACACTTTTATACATTACTAAAAATAGAATACTGTTTTTACCATTTTAATTGTTCATTTGTACTTGTAAGTTCGCTTACTTGTAGAATACTATTCATGTACTGAAAAAATACTTTCTGAAGTACTTTTAAACAGTGTGTAGTGTACATGTATGTGGTGTAATGTGTGCACAAAATCACAAGACAGAATCTTGAGAACAACTTTTAAGTAAACTTGAACTTGAAACTTGAACTTTGATATATTTATTTAACATTTTCTAAAAGTATGAGTCTTAGTATTAATAAACTTCTCTTTATACTCTTCGATGTAAGGCCAAGTATACTTCATTATATTATTTTTAAGTATAGTAAACATAATTTGTACAAAGTAAACTTCAAGTACACCGCCTCATTTTAGTGTAAAATGAGTATACTCATGGTACACTTAAATAAACAATCTTTGCTAAGGGTTTGCTTTTTGGGGGCAGATTTGAACATCTAAGTAACTTTCTGCAGGTTGTATTAGCAAATAACATGTAGCAGAGATGTGTCCAAGTCTTTTATTTTGCAAGTCCAAGTCAAGTCCAAGTCATGCAGGCCCGGAGTGTGCGGGACAATCTCGTCCTCTCAGGGATCCTAGAGCAAGCAGAGGAGGACCTGGAGGAATCGGTCTGTGACTTCATTGAGAAAAAGCTGAACCTTCCACAAGATACGGTGAACAAGATCACGTTTGATCGGGTACATCGATTGGGAGGTAAGAAGACTAACATCAAACTACCGCGGCCAATTATAGCTAAATTTGAGCACTATAAACAAAGAACATGTTAAAAGCCGAGGCAGGGAGCGGCGTGGTACGAACTTCAGCGTAAATGATCAATTTCCCAAACAGATTCTGGAKAGAAGATGCGTTCTGCTTCCGGTCAGGAAAAAAAAACATCACAGAAGGCAGAAGGCCTGTAATATCTGTAGATAAGCTTTACATTAACGGTCAGCTGTTTAGAGACCCAGACATAACTCCATGGCTTYACCAACAACATCTGCAAGGTCAGTGACATTTTCTTTCATTTACCAATTAAAATTAAGCAGTAAGCACAGTTCGGTTGGTGGGAACTCAACTGGTGGAGCACGGTGTTATGGATTTGTTCTCAAAGGAGCGGAGCGTGGATGTGCATTGAGGGAGTGAGAATCGTGAGCCGGACAGTGAAAGGACTTGCATTGTTCACAAGTCTCAAACCACGAGTCCTAGGCAAGTCTCAAGTCTTTAGGGTCCAAGTCAAGTCTAAGTCTCTAATAGTAGGGTCTAGTAGTAGTAATACTAGTAATTCTAGTAAAAGTGTGACTCAAGTCTAAGGCCGAGTCACAAGTCCCCATCTCTGACACGTGGTAATGCTCCTTTAATGTTAACATCTCATCTGCATTATAGACCAAAAGCAAAACGAACATTTTTTGGAGTATGCGTGGAATATAAATATAACTGGTCAAAAGTTGCTAAGTTCTTCTTTATTCTAGAAACTAACAAAGAAACCAACGGATTTACTGTAAATCATGTCCTAATTCTGAATTTCAGTTGTTTTTTTAAGATGTGACTTTTTTTTTTTTTGCTGAAACATGTTTCTACAGTTGATTGTTCAATAATTCTTCCCTGTTTTACTTCTGTTTTTTCTTGTTTTCCAGCAGCTCATATCACTCTGTTATTCAGTTCAGGGACCTTTTTATTGCCCCAAATCTGAACCATTTCTGAAGCTGTAAGTTTCACTCTGTTGTGCTGAATTGTCTTAAAGGCTGGGAAACGTGCACAACATGAAAACTACTCATCCACACTGCTCTGACCCGAGGCCTGCAGCAGCACATTATAAGATTTAATTAAATCAAAAAGCTAATCTACAACTACCTACAAACTTACCTGGACCTAAAAGGTGTAGGGGACACACCTTACCTGGACATTTGTTGAGGGCCTCACATATCTCCGTCTCGAATGAGTGGCCCGTGCAAGCCAGGTGCTGACACTCGAGGGGGCTGGAGCAGACCCTCTGTCTCTGCCTGAATCCTTGTCCTTCACAGCTGACCGAGCAGGGGGTCCAGGGGAGCCAGGAGTCCCAGCCAGGATCTACACCCAAACATACAGGGAGGATTGTGACGATACTGGACCAGTGTGGGGTRCGTTGGTTTCAGTGCAGGTGTGTACCTGTGCAGCAGGTGCCGTTACACGGCTCTGTTTGTAGTTTGTCTTGAGGGCCCTCACACTCTGATTCACCGATGCCRTAACACTTCCTGCTCCTCTGCCTCACTCCCTGACCACACAGGACATTACAGAAGGACCAGGGGGACCAGGAGGACCAGGTGGGCGAACTGAAACCAAACAGGACAGGAAGAGTGGAAATGGGGGTGGGGTTAGGACCTAGGTGTGAATAGAGTTTGGGTGAGGTTAATTATAGGGTAAATGGTCAGGGTTAGGTGACACAYTCTCACTCCTGACTCGTCATATTGACGCTTTTCCAAGATCCCCCCTGAGACTTATTTTGACGCGTTGGGTACACCCGTCACATCAGTTTTTGACACACCAGGCATTTCCGTGTTCCCTCGGCGTCCAGTTTTGACATGCTGGGATGCAAAATACAGGGGTCTTTGACTCGGGGTCCGTGGTTAATATTTGGGATCAGGTTGGTTAATTTTAGGTACTGGGGTCAGGAATAGGATGTCTAGGGTAAATATCAGGTAATTTTAGGCTTTGGGACACGTAGTTCACGTGAATTTCCTACATTTTCTAAAAATGGTTAATYTTAGGTACTAGTGTCAGAGACAGGATGTCTAGAGTGAATAAAGGTAATTTTAGGCTTTGGGACAGTTAKATTTTTRCATTTTCTACACTTTCTGAAATTATCCCCATCTCGTTAATAACTGACACGAGGGGGTTACCCGACACATCAAAACCGGACGCAGAGAGCACCTGGGAAAAGTGTAAATATGTGATGACCTAGGAGTGAGAATGGTCAGGGT